AATGGTCGCACATAAGAGATTTTAACATAAAACAAAAAGATTTCTTATTCAGTCGACAATATTTTGGAACTCGTCTGGACAGCCGATTATACAACTGAAGTGTACTTGGTCTACTAAATTACCGTGAGTATAAAATTGCAGGCTGATTAAAAGGTCGATAGATTAAGAGCATTTATAAATAAAGATATCAACCACTAATAAATAATTCAAGGCATATGTCCAAGATTTCGTACAGCTGCTGCTTATACCTGTTCCAATATTTTTTTTTGTATGAAACCGCTTGCATATTCACAGAGAGATAAAATGCATTAAACATATATGGTCTCTGTATTCGAACCGAAGCCAACGACTTGTTGCTGCTGTTGTTTTCCATTTCAAAATTGTTGTTCTGTTTTTATTATTGTGATTTAATAATTTTCATAACTATTTAATTAATATACGTAACTAATTTTGAACAACAGTACATCTCTGTAATTATAACCGTTTGATTTAATTAAAAAAAACATTAAGATTATTTGAAAAATGATCTTTCGTAGGGGGAAGGTCTATTCTGAAACAATCTCCGTAGCTCATGGACTTTTTCTCTTAATGGAACATAAACTTCCGTATTTAATAGTAAAATTTAAATGTTAGTAACTAGAATTTTTTTTTCAAAATTCACATTTAGCTTCTTTTTCTTATTTAATGTCAACAGTTATCTTTTTTTAACAGGTTTTGCAGTTAAGATGATTTTGGCTGTGACGGTCGCGTTGTTGGCTCTCGTGGTTTACAGAGCTGACGCTGCCTGTAGCAGATCAAACTGGTGGTCAAGCTTTGACAGGCAGGGACTATCGACTTGCAAAGATGGGAATGATTTCATCACGGGTTTTTATAGAAACGACAGAAGCAGTTGGAACGACGACTCCTTGGAGTTGTTGGAAGAAGCGGAATGTTGTAGTAGAAACTGGCCTTGGTCAAACTCTAAAACACAAATCGTGTACGCTGATTGGTGGCTAGCGTTTGACAGAGACAATACTTGGGCTCATTGTCCAGCTGGTTATTTCCTGCATGGTTTGTACAGAAGTGGAAACAACAAGGGCCAGTTATTTAACATTGAAGAAGGGAGATGTGCTAAACCAGCCGACCACCCCCCATACCACGGACACTGTTATGACCATGACATCGGTTTATGTTTTGATAACAAAGGCTTATGTAAATGTAACAACGACTACTATGTCGCTGGTATATATCGCGGTACTTGTGATAAACTCTTCTGCTTAGAGAAACTGAGGTGCTGCAAGACTGCAGGGGGGCCTGAAGGACTGGACGAGATGTACAAGGTGAAGACTCGCATCATGGACACCACGATGTCGGACATGTCTTATCTGGCTCATTATTTGGGTTACGGCTGGTGCTCGGGTTGTAGAGCACCGTATGTTGGAGAAGATTTTAGAAGACACGGCGACACTTGGCACGCTGATAAAAGTGGACGCTGTGAGGGCTTCATGAATGATAGACGTTTGAGCATTGCATACAGTGATTGGAGCTTTGCTATAAAAGACATCAAATTCGGAACCCCTGTGTTACAAGAGTTAACTCCCGAAACGATTGACTCTGGTCCCGTTTATAACAATGACCCGCATGATTCCGTCAAAACGGTCAAGAGATCTGAGACCAGTGTCCGTAGCGTCACCCACACGAAAACAAGCTCTTGGAAAGAGAGCCACGAGGGGGGTTTCCAAATCAGCTACACACCTCCTTCAGCCACAGGGGGTCCCGGAGGGTCGGTCCACTACACGTTCAACTACGAGACCACCACCTCGACATCAGATTCGACAAATAATCAGCAGACAAAAACCTTTGAGTTAACCGAATCGAAAACTTTGAAGCCGTATACCGCCGTTAAATGGAATCTTATGATGTTCAAAACTAGAAGATCAGTCACCTACACGGCCACTGTTTTAGTAAAGTTCTCCACCGAGCTTCAAGGTTTCCTGCGTTGGGGTGGAAAAGCAAACAGTATCGATACCAACTACCATTTCCAGCATCGGTTTAGCGGAGCTCGTCCCACGTTTAACTACAGATTCGGCGACGCCGGCACTCCCTTCTACACAGCCCTGAAACGACAAAGCGAAACCAACTCACAGCCTTGGCTGTGGAACGACTTGAGAAACGCCTACCCGTACGCACAAAATTTAATCAACGATCTGTGTAATGAAAACAGGTACGTCTTCACGGTTAATGGCAGGTTTGATGACGTCATTGGCACGCACACCGAGTTCCGTTGGGACGCTATACCGAATCGTCAAAAAAAGCGATCAGCCGACCGTGGCGAGGACGTGCCTGGTGTCATATACCAGAACTCCACTCACGTCGCCAAGGCTCTGCCTAACGATGTTCCACTGGTGAAGCTTGAGCCTCCTAAGGTCGATATCGAGGCCTACAACCAAACTCACCTCGAGAAGCTCCAGTTATCTGGTTAACTATATATATAATAAACTCAGCACTTCATATTTTTGCTTTGTCCTTTGTACTTAGTTCACACTGTCTGTTTGTTTTGTTTGTTTTTTCGTCATTTGTTTTATTGTGGGTTTGAGTTGTAGCAAGTCTTGTTACTCAATTTTAATCGAATGCAGCCATGTCGCTCAAGCTTTCGTTCTTCTTCCATCACAATGCAACGATATCTATTTTTTAGTCTAATTAGGTTATTTATTTTAAAAAAAAAAACACAAACGAACGCTACATCAATGAAATGTTCGTCAAGGATGGTTGAATTTTTTGTCTCAGAGTCGACCACGAACTAAGTAGCTAAAGATACCTATTTGTTTTTGGCAAATCTAATAACTTTAAAAAAAAATATTTTGACATTAGATTAGTCATTATGGGACGAAGTGGTCTAGCGGTAGAGAGCTGGACTGCTAACCCGTAAGTCTCGAGTTCGAATCCGGGTTCAAGTCAGTAGACCTTCACTGGGTACACCTATCTCTGATGTGTACCTAACATTAGGGAAAGTAAAGGCGGCTGGGCATAGTGCTGGCCACACTATCTCTTCAGGTTTGAAAGGGGAACATTTTTTAGTCATTAAAATGTAAGTAAAAGTGTATTAAGTTCAATAATCAAATGATAAATGGCAATGTTAAGTACTAGCTGTTGACGGTGAACCGCTATGGCTGGTTGACTTTCTTACTTGAGAATCTAGCCACGGACACAGAAGGCGCAGAAAATCGTCTTTTAATCGATCGGGTTTGATGTTAAGTAAAAATTTCATTCGTAGAACGAATAACTAAAATTTAGAAAGTAAAACACTTTTTAAAACATGTATAATACAATTTCAACTACATTTTAAATGCACTAAAAATAAGAAAATAATGTAAACTTTTTTTTAAAGGGATTTGTCGCTCATGAAATCTCTAACAAGCTATGAGGAATAATCTATAAAGTGTCATTGAAAAACAAATGCATAAAATACGTTTTAATAGCAAGCTTTAATGTAATAATGCATTAAAAAGTCGAAAATGTATGATTTTCTGTAAATATTGAATAATGCAATTTTAATAATTGATTAATACACTTTTATTTAAATAACTAGAAAGACAAGTACTTTTCAGTGCATTTTAATTATCCTTTGTTGTCAAAATGTCGAAACCAAAATCCCCCTTATTAGTGATATAGGGTTGGCCTATATGATGTGCTACGGAGGTAGTAAAGCTTTATGAAGTCAACTCAGATGGGTCGGCAATTTCTGACTTGTAGGCTTAATGAAAGGCGGTGAATGATGGAAAATACTTGATGGAAAACCTCTATAATGCCGTGTTTAATCAAAATAACGATGATTTATCGTTAATGTTGGTCATTATAGGCATAAGTATAACTTGTTCAGAACGAATGATCATATCTATAAGTGCAAGCCCAAGACACAGATCGTCTCACGGAGGGGCGAGGTTAATATTTTTTCCAGCATTATATATATATATATATATATATATATATATATATATATATATATATATATATATATATATATATATATATATCAGAGGCGTAGTGACCCTTTCCGGCGCCCGGGGGCAAACTGTCAACCGGCCTCCCCCCCCCCTACATATATTTTTTTATATTTATAATGCAAAACTGCAGCTAAAATGAACTTTTAATTTTTTTCTAACCCAATTTGGCGCCCCCCTAGGGTCGGCGCCCGGGGACATATGTACCCCACCCGCCCCACCTCGCTACGCCTCTTATATATATATATATATATATATATATATATATATATTAGTAGACTCTCTCACTAAATTTAAAATTAATTATTTATTAATCCATTTCCTAATTTAGTAATTTAACCTATTACATCATATCATGAGACAACCAATCACTCAAAAAAATTTGCTCTAACTCATTTCGGGTGAGATTTAGGCCTAAATATTTTGTTTTAAAAGCGTTTAGAGTTATCATCTGTTATGTTATTTATACCTTTAAAAACAAGTTAATAAAAAGTCTAGTGACAATTTAAGCGCAACTTCCTTATGTTATCTAAAAATAGATAGTGATCACAAAGACGTATAATGCTGGGGTGCGTTCAAGCTAGGAGAACGATCGGTTTGTAGGTGTTTATTTAAGTTTAAAATTTTTTGTGTGACCGAACGAAAGGATATTTTTGAAAACTTTCTTCGGCAATATTGTTCTAAATTATGACAGGAATCGATTGGTAAATGTTTCAAGTCGCTAAGTCGTCTGGTTGCCGAGATATGGGCAAAAAACTGCATTTTTTCGATGAATTTTGGCTTTTCCGGGATATCCACAATCATTCTAGGAACTTCATTAACATATTTGCTTTTGGAACTAGTCCTCAATATTGCTTCGTTGAGGAGGAGTTACGACTTAAAGCTGCAGACACACATCCATTCATCCATCCATCCATCCATCCAGAAATGACGAGTTAATAATCGCAATTGTCCGTATGGAAATTGCGCTAAAAAAACAGTACTTTAATTTTAAATATCTCTGTTTAGGTCTATTATCTTACCCAGTTACCCAGGTGTAGGTGACATTAATGTCGCTCTACACAAATAGGGCTTGTCCCGTTCTGGTGGTGACTTGGGGGGGGGGGGGGGATAACCAACTCAGAGTGAATATGGTGTCAGTTTTTAGATGGCTGTTCTAAACTTGCATATACAATTATACATATATACTGTTTCAGAAATAGATTTAAGTAAGTTACAGTGGTATTATGACAATAATTTTGTTTACTGATGGGGATCCCCCCAACCCCCCTCCCCCTGCCTACTTCACTGACAAGATACACCAGACCCGTATGATTCACGATTGGATTTTGTGAATACGCAAATGAAACTGGTCGAGTAAGGTACCTATAAAAAGGTTAAGAAGCACTGATTTTGGCGTGTTAAAATTATTGAATGAAACATTTAAAAAAAAAAAAAAAAAATTGCATGGAGCTCTTCAACAGGAAATCACTTTATACTATTATCTTGAAAGTGATTTTCATCACAAAAGACTTTATGTTTTTACCGGTGTCCGATAGCAGGACCCTTTCAAAGTCATGTCTCTAGGAACTCTTGGTGGACTGGTAGAGCTGTCTATGCAGGCAACTATTGGAGGTATGAATACGAAGTAATTAATCTGTATAGGCCTAATGATAATGAGACTAATATTTAAGTATAGGTTCGGTAATCTATCGTTTAAGGGGGTTTTGGTAAATGGACACCAGCGAGAAAAGTCTCAAAAAGGTATTTTAACAGTATTTGATAGAGATACTCACTAATTTTAAATTTCGTTATTTTTCGATTTAAACATTACCAATGGAAACTAGAGATCAATCTCTAATCAATCAAATACTTAATTTGTTGAAAATAAACTCATTTGGAGCTTAATTACTGATTTTTATTAATTGGCCACTCCAAGCATTGCAAGCCAAATAATCCGTGACAACCAGATCGCCATTACTTTTCTGAAGAGACGAACTCTGCAGGGTTGACCTTGCAGCTGATTTGATTTTAGCAGAATATGCACAGTACATTTGATTTTATTACCACATTTCTATTCGTATGGACACTGTCTTCGTCAGAATAAAAAATCACATAATGGAATTAGATCTAGATCTAGAATTTTTAAATATTTTATTTAATTTTTTTTTAAATGGAAGGGTGTTTAAAAAGGAAAACTAAATTCAAATTAATGAACAACATGTTCAAGAATATATAGTATAGATCTAATCTTTTTAAAGATATTCAATCCCATGCATGTTTTATTAACTAGTGTAAGTGTTTTAGCAATGCTTAATTAGGGCAATTCATAAAATATTGCGATGTCATTGTAAAATTAATCTAACCCTCTTCTCTCACTTCACTTGGGACAGGTGTGTTATTTACAAAGTTTTGTCTATGCTCAGTTTAAAATGTAAAGATTTGTAAGTATTTGATTTATTTTAAAAAACACTGCAATAGCATTCAAATTCATCAAGTTAGCGAAAAATACATTCTAAACAGCGTCACGGGCAGTGCGCGTGACAGACATCTCGCTCGCTTAGTTTTGTCAACCAGAAAAGTTAGCCTATCAAATACAATTAATTAGGCCTATAAAATAAAAAGAGGCCAATCGCATTAAAATGATCGCCTGTGAGCGAAGATATATGCAAATTACAAACATCGCTAGCCCGCCTGCGTTCTTTTGTCAACCAGCGAGAGAAAACTCACAGCACAGTGTGAGCATGCGCTAAATCTAGTCCAAGTACTTGGTTATCCCAAGTTATAATTAGTATTGTAGGTCTAGATTAATATAAAGTTCACATTAAATGTATTTAATTAAGATGTGTGTCTATTTGATTTTAAAAATGTCAGCCGTCACAAAATTACGGACCCCCCCCCTTACGAGTGTGACGTCATTTATGGACGAACCCAAATGAGATCAACCAGAATAACTGAAATTAGATCCTATGGCATTTTAAAAATAAATAGTATTTTGAAAAAGAAAAAAAAAATTAAAAAAAAAACAACTTCTAAGCCAAGCAGACCCATACTAAGACAATAGTAAATACATCATTATGTATGCTTTTCAAAAGCCTTGACGGTATGGCATCCCCCCTCCCCACAACTAGACAACGTTGAGAGGTCATTGTGAAGGCCTATAGCATACGTCAACTGCTATTTGAGATAGCTGATGACGTCACTTTATCTCCCCCCCCCCCCTCAACCACCTTGCGGTATGAACGCGTGGGCCTACTTGGGGTCACAGTGAGTTCAAGAAAGCCCTATTTACTCCAGTTGTTAATTTTTTATCTCCCCACTCCATGAAATAATTGTAATTGACCATCTACGCATTTCACATTGTTGGTGACGTCACTAGCCTTTAATTTTTTTCTCATGAACGCAAGAAAGGCTGGCTTTTGCAAATTTCGTGTTTTTTTTTAAATCTGTGTTTCTCCCAAATTCAGTATCACTGGCTAACAGTTATATATTCTGCTAGAACAGTTATCCTTAAAATAGGTAACAATATTAAACAAAACTGTACTCGCGTGCGATCCTAGTCCTTATAATACAGTTTATGTAGGTCCATCTCTAGACTACACGGCGAGTTCAAATAAGCCAAAAAAAAAAACCACGTGTAGCCTAAACTAAATTTTAAACTAATCGTAAAAAAAAAAACAATGAAAAAAAAAATGACGTCACGCCAATGATGGGTAACCCTAGCCTATGCTAGCATAGATGTACCATGTACGCATGTGTGATGGGTGGAAAACAGATCAACGGTAAAGAGGCACCACGAGAACCGGCGAGACAAGTTTTATACGTCCTAACGGGTTCACGAGTCACTGCGAGACTAGCGATTGGATAGGACTTACCCAGGTTCGAATCTCGCGACACCCGAAAGGAAAAAAACCCTGAGAAGCAAGATATGCCGGTTTTTAAAGATATTTCCCGGCTATTCATCGAAATTCCCGGTTTCCCGGCTGCGTGGGAACCCTGTAAAGTTCACATTAAATGTATTTAATTAAGATGTGTGTCTATTTGTCATTTGATTTTTCAAATGTCAGCGCATAAAAATTGATTACCCGAGAGCGAGAATTAGGCATATGCCTATGCATTCCAAACATCGACACAGACCAAGTGTGACACACGACTCGCTCGCTCGCGCTGGTTTGTCAGCGAGAGAGGCTTCGCCCGCCACAGCGCGGGCACAGCACACACATACATGTCCTAGTCCATGCGTACTTGGTTTACTAAATACTAATTAGTAATGTAAACTTAGACCCAACGCTAAAATCATTTAATTTATCTATCAGGCCTCTAAAATCGTAATAATATTAACTTTACTAAGCCTAATATTAAATAAATGTATCAACGAAGACCAGTGAAAATAATATTATAATTAGCCTAATTAAAATTTATAAAATCAATAAGAAGTAAAACAAATTAATTAAGCTATAACAAATTTAAAAACAAATAATTAGGCCTAAATATTTTTACTAAATAAGCACATAAAGACCAACGCTCACTACTAGATCTAATTCCAGGGAACAACAAAAAAAATAAAATAACAGATCGTTGTGGTTTTAGAGTCATAGTATAATCCAAAAGCAAAGTGAAATATCCATAATTAGGCTTAATTAGTCTAATTACGCTAGCAAAATAAGCTGAAAAGTGTGTCAAGTGAAAAGAAAACACAATTATATAAGCAGCGAGAGGATACTACTGTACAGCTTCCGTAACAATAGCGATGACGTCACAATAAAAAAACACGTGCTTTCAGTGACCTTTTTAGGAGGCCGATTTCTTAAAATCGGCACATAATATTTGCATTTTTTTTTCACTAAACCATCAATCTAATAATACCCTACCTTACAGTGCCATTTAGACACCTAATAGTCCTTTATTTAAAGTTTTTAAACAACTCAAACTATACCCATGTTTACGTTTGACTTCCCTGGTCGGAAGCAAATTTAAAAAAAAAAATTCTGCCAAAAATAGGTTTGACATCTTCAGATAGCTTAAAATACGCGAAAAAAACGCCATTTTTCGCGTGATAATTATTTTTAAAATTAATGTTAAGGTGGTCTCTCGAACAAAGCAGAAAAAATTGCCCAATCGTAGGCCAAGGTGTGGTAGCCATTTTCTGGTTAGCAACCAAGGACGCTTTCAAGTTAGTGAGTATCGCTAGTATTTGAGTATTTGACTATTTGTCCCATTTGAGAGGTCCATAAATTTATAAATAAATTAATTTAAAAATCACGCACGGCGTAGATCTAGTTACAAATTAATATGGTTATAAAATTCTGCCTGTCTGTTTTTTTTTCGGACTTTACTAAAGATTGGATGTATTTGATGCTTTTAATTAATTTTAATAATATTTTCGGTAACTAGGCCTAAATAAAAATTAAAAAAAAGCAAAAACAATTTGGTTTTCACGTGTAATGGCGACATAAACAATGGCATCCTGCTATTGGATAGGCCGCCATAAATTTTATTGTACACATTGTAAGCTCAAAATACTAATAGAATTTAAAAACTTGATCTGCAAAGTTTTGTAAACAAATAGTTATCGATCACTAAGTTACTATACATACAGCCAATCAATATTTGTCTTACGAAAGTGAAACATCCGGTTATAACTTAGGCTTGATGAAAATAAATAGAAATGTAGCCTTAAACTCAACAAATTATTTTCAAATTCTCTGGATTTGCAACTTTTATAGCATTTATTCTAAAAATACAAAATTTCTAAATTAATTTTAGGCTTAAGTTTTTTTTTTAATTTTTTTTATGGTCTAAATCTAAAAAGCACGTTTTTATTCCATGTCAACAACATTATGGAAGGAATCTCGTCAACTCGCTGGTGTCCATTGCGAAACGCTAGAAAAATGAAATAGCGCCTCTACCTAGATCTACCCCCTACTCATCTAGATCTAGAAGATCTAGATCTAGAGTAGATTTCCTCTGATCGGTCAACTCTCGTAACGGTCATCGTCTGTTTATTGCTTTGTAATATAATTATTTGGATGTTTTATATGAAATTACCGGTATCTGCCATCTGCTGTACGTGTACACATGTCCATTTCTAAATATATTCAGGTCAAGTTCTTTTGTTTTCTCCTTCTGGAAGACAAGTTTTTAAATTTTTAAGTTCAGGTATGATGTCAGCCGGTAATCCCAGTTCCCCCGGATGAAAACACTAGGTCTGGGATGAGACGAATAAAACCAACCAATCAAAGCTGTTTATAATTAGGTTAACTATAAATAGCTTCTACATATGTGCGGGACACTGTAAATACTATAACTAAGGCTACTAAAGCAACCTGAGAGGTTAAATGGGGGTGATCGCAGCTTGGCTGACGATTCGGGTTGTTTTCCTCGCTGCGTAACCAATGACTTGAGCTAGACTAGCCTAGATCTAGATGCTCTATATTTTAAGCTTTATTTTTCAACGGTCAAATAAACTATGGTTTACAAAAACGAATGTTTTCTAAACTAAACAAACATTACCGGATAATTTCCGATGCTATATAGATTACCCTAGGTATAGCAGTTAGGTCAAGATTCTACTTTAGAAAGATCCAGACACTGCTGTATTTCTAAGGCACATTATGTGTCTTTTTTTTCTTCAAGAGAAAATACTAATAATAAACCTATAGAAATACTATTCTCTAAAAATGATAATAATTTTTTTTTTTAAACTAAAATACCTGGGTTATAAGCATTTCAGACAAAAATGAATGAGTTAAAAAAAAAAACCCAAATAAACATTAGTATAAATAGTGTTGCTCTTACATGTTGATAGAATAGACCAATGGACCCAACGTGTTATATATGACCTTTATGTTTTACAATACTGTACGTGTGTTCATGATTTAATAATTCATGAATAGGCCTGGTAATTATGATTGAAAATTGATTACAAGCCAGCTTATTAATTCAGAGCAGCCAGCTTTAATTTTTATGCTGCAAGCAGGCATAGACATTTTTAAAAGATTGTTTAAAATTTTTCAGCTTCAGAGCCTTGGCCAGAAGATGTTATTCTTTATCAACAGTATCAACGTAAGTTTCTTTTGAGATTTGACTCATAATAATTGCCTTAATGAACATTTAATCATTTTATTTTAGATTGCTGTCTTCATTTAAACACTTGGTATAATGTAGGGACTAGAAGTCTAAATTCAGTTGAATGCTTAGGAATTTGTGCCATCTGTACAGCTTATGAATCTCAGTTAGGTGTGCCAACTATATTTGTAATAATGAGTGTTTGATAACATGTAGACAGATGTTTTTTTTTTTAGAAAAATCAAACTTCTAAATATCATGTAGATAAAGTGTTACCACCTATACAGTATAGGTAATCTTTTGATTGGACTCTACTCAGTAAACAATTTAAAAAGTCAGCCAGTAACTGGTAAAGCCATAAGATCAGCTCTACACAGTTGCAAGTCAGCTATCCTTTGAAAAAAATTTGATTTACTGCTACATTTATGTTTTTCACTGTACTAATATCACTGTTTGTATAATGTAATGTATCTTAACTTATTTTTTTTAAAATTATTTTTTGCTGGTACCACTGTCTGGAACTGAAATCAATACTCACAGAAATCACTTTGATACAATCATTGAAGTACCAAAACATTCATTAACAACATTGACTGATTCACGAGTTATCTATATTTCTAACAGTGGAGCAGATAACTTTGCCTGACTATGCACAGTGCCTTGCAGTGGAGACTTTCTTACACATGTGTGGTCTCAAGTTTCGTGTGGAACAAAGAACAAATGCAGAAGAGATGTCACCATCCGGTAATATACTGCCCCATTAGGTTGGCTGTACCAATAGTCCTAGCCATGGGGTAAATTTGATTCTAACTATCTTTATTTATCAACACTTGCAGGGAAAGTACCTTTCATTCAAGTGGGGCCTTATTTAGTTTCTGAGTTTGAGCCAGTGGTAGGATTTGTCAATACAAAGGTAATTTTTCGTTATAAAGTTTGTTGTATCATCAAGTTTTAAATTGGGACGGCATGGTCAACTGCTAACCTGAAAGTCTCTAGTTCAAGTCCTGGGGAGACTGTAGGGTGCCCCTGATTCCATCCAGCTCTGATGGGGGTACCTGACTCAAGTTGGAGAAACCAAGGCGGCTGGGCATAGTGCTGACTACACTATCTACTTGAATGCAGAGGTCATTAAACAGATGAACTCTACTTCATCTGCCACATGTGTTTTGGGCATGAATGGGAAGAGATGATAATGAAATTTTTAATAAGTCTGTATTGGTCCAATTCATTTTTATTTATAATAGATCTGCCATTCTTTTGCTTCTAGAAAATTTAAACCATGATTTTTAGTTATCAAGAATTAAAATATTTAATTAAAATAAACAGGGCTTCTATCTAACTCGAGAAATGCCAGACAATGAAAGATCAGAAATGAGAGCCTACATGTCAATGATTGAAAATATTCTTGGCAATGCTGAGGTAAGATACTTATATAGAAATTTGTTATTACTTCATTTCACAGAAAATAATTAGACTACATTACAAATGATGTATATTACATTTTTTGTTTTGTTTAGCTGTACATGGCTTGGCTGAATCCTGAAATTGCAAATGAGGTATTTATACATACATTTTTACGCACATTAAGTGTTTACAACCTACTAAATTTTGTGAAACAGTTATCACCAAGTATGTTTCTCTAAAGTGTCCAAATATTTTAAGACAATTTGATAAAATTAAATACTAAATTGTAGAGCATATAAGCAAGTTAGAGTAATTATTTTTTAAACACATTTTTCATTGTATCAAAGCTCTTATTATTTTTTAAAATTGTTTTCACATTTTTCTTTCGGTGACTGATGTCATGAATTTTACTATATTCAGTAAGCTACTTAATGTATCTTCATAACACTACTCCAGTCCATGTGTATGTTTTAGGTGACTAAACCGCGCTATGGTTGTTCATATCCTTGGCCTTTGAGTTGGATCCTACCCTGGAGAAAACAGAAAGAAGTTCGAGCAAGGTTGAAAGCTAATGAGTGGTCTAATAAAACTGTTCCAGAGGTAGTTTTTAATTGAATACTTTCTGTTTCTTTTTTACAAGCTTTTATGTAACTTGCTTCCTCGCTCTGTTCATCATCAGTCAGTCTAGATCAAAACGCCTGAGCGAAATTTCGTTTCAAAGTTGGCACGTGGGTCAAGACATGAAGACAATGCAATCTGACAATAGACTTGGCTTAATTGGATGCCTAATTAATTTTTTATGAATCAATTAAAATTTTGTCTAAATTAGTAGGCTGTCCTATCCAACTATTCCGCACTTTTATATGTGCATTATCATGTTCATCAGGTGCCCAATGGATTTTAGTCTAGCAATTCTATTTAAATAATTTTTTTTTATTAAAGAACTGAAATAATTCATAAAAAACGTTTTAATAACAAGCTTTCATGTAATAATGAACTAAAAAGTAGAAAATAAATGATTCTCTTTAAATATTTTATAATACACTACCAGTTAAATAACTGTTAAAAAAAAGCCTGAATTGTTACAAACTCTTCTCAGGTGTGTGAGGAAGTGAAGGTGTGCTGTCAGGCATTATCAGAACGACTAGACAAGAAGGAATTCTTCTTTGGTGCTAAGTAAGGCCAGATTCTTTACAAGTTTATGTTTATTTCTTTATTTTAGTTTCAAAATAGAAAGACTGTATGTGACCAGTATCAGAGACCATTCTGCTCTGTTTCATACTTACAAGAATATACTCTAATTATTGTTATTACTCACTGTATTTGCTAATGTACTTTGCTTTATGCAGTGTTATATTTGATTGTTGAAATGCCTGGTGTAATTTGTTTTATAATTCAAGTAACTCATCAACGTTTTTCCTTTTTGTTCCTTGCAGATCAATGGGCCGCTGTCAAAGTTTTCCACTCTCCTTGGTCACCTGCCATTCTTTTCAGCTGTTCCCTATTCCTTCTTATCCTTTCAGCCTCTTCCAGCATGAAATTTCAGTATCTACATGCATTTTCTTACAGCATTTCCATCCGAATACAATTTTTTTAATACAAATATAAATATCTGCTTGTAATTTTAAGATGTATTTAATTTTTAAAAGTAAGTTTTTATTTTTGTTTCTAGACCCACAGAATTAGACGCCATGGTCTTTGGTCACCTGTACACACTTGTGACAACAATTTTACCTGGAGGATATTTCACATCAGTAGTTCAGGAGTTCAGCAACCTGGCCATGTTCTGTAAAAGGATAGAGGATAAATACTTCAAGTTAGGATTTGATTAAATAATTTAGTAGCTTTTTGGTGATGCAAAATATTGTTCTTTCACAATATGGATTGTACTTTCCTTTCTTTAAAATCTATGAAAGGACTATCTCAGACTATAAAAATGCAACTTTTCAAAACTATTTAAAGTCAGTTTAAAGAAATTTTTACATTCATGTAAATAAAAGTAAATAATTAACATTACCAAGGATTGTAACTGTGGTTTGAGTACAGTTTATTTGTATAGTTGATATCTGACCATGCCTAGCAAACGCCTCATTTCCAGAGTCAAAGACAAGGATTTCATGAAGACATGTGGCTTTAACTAAGACTGTTAGATCTTATTAAAGTTTATTTAAACAAAAACTTAACTCAATTTTTTTTTCCTTGCAAGTTAATTTAATTATTTTTTTTTTCATCTCATTACTTTTGATCTGAACATGGCACATTAAATGTGGCATGGGTTGATTGACTCTTGGTAGATTTGTTCAGAATTTTTTGTTTATGTTTGAACAACCATGAGTAAAGTAGCTTTTGGTTCGTAAAATTATTTTTATCAGATTCCTCATTTTCAATAATGTATCAAATAAATGATGTAAAAATGTAACTCAAATGTTTCATTAACATTGATTGTTTAAATGACAAGTTGATAGTTAATTTAAGTACAAGTTAAAATGAGCAGCAGTTTGGTATTACATATATGTTCAGTATTAGTGTTCGCTAACCTAATTCAATATGACAGACTGTTTCAGGGATATGTACATCATTTTGATGCTGTTTGCTGTCCAATCAATACTTTTACAAACACTTTTAAATATCCTTTAGAATAAAGGCCAGTTGTACTTTAGGATTAGTGCGAAGTAACTTTTCTGTGAAATGAAGATTCAGTCCAAACCTTCTAGTAAACAGCTGTGTTTTGATAACATCAGGTGACTCATCCCTTTGTTTACCTAGCTTTAAGCTATGAGGCATTTCAGTGGACACTTATAGTTTGTTGTCTTGCTCACGTCACTTAACCCCAACTTGTCTCCTGGCAATGGTGTCTTTTAAAAAGTCTCAGTTTACAACGGATAATTTAAATATAAATACATCATTGCATGACAGTGTAGTTTGTTGGCTAGAAGAAATCTTTAACTTTGTTCACCCCTGGTTGAATGTTGGTTTATTGTATTACTTTTCTTTTAGAATAGTTCACTTTGGTATAACTAAAATTATAATCAAGACTAGGAAGGTAATTATTTTGAAATGGTGTTGTATTACATCTTCTTCTGCTTGAAACTAGAGTTTGACCACTTAGTAAATGACTTTGATATATTATTCAATGTTTAATATTTTATTATAGAGGTCGACAGCATTAGCTGTTAATTAAAAATGTGATGTTTAACAAAGTAAATACTGACAACCTTACCTTGTTCGTTGTTTTAGAAGTTACAAGATCATTACATTATTCCTATTTTAACTACTGCACATTAAGTTGTAGTTAAGGTAACCTTTAAAACACTAGCACACTTTTTAACCATGTTATCTCAGTACCATTGTATTTATTTCTCATGTGATTTAAATTAAACATTCTTCCACATTTTTTCTTGTTTTATTGTTAAAATCTTTGTCTAGGTTATTAAGCAGTTATTCAATGAAGTTTACTAAACATTATTGTTCATCCTTTAATAATCTGTTTTGAGCAATGTTTCCATTTTGAGATGATGCTCAAGCAAGATGTGTTTAAAAAGTTTTTTTACAAAGGGATGGTTTAAATATGACTATTCAGTCTGATTGCTGTAAAGTTGCAATTTTTTTGTCAAGACAAAGTTGTTTGAAATTAATGAGCTGTTAGTCTCGAGTTCAAACCCGCGGGCATATGAGGCTCGTTAGGTGGGGACAGCCACTCTTCTAGGAGAGACAACTCCAAAATTAAACAACTGCTGCCTTGTCGTTTGGTCTTGGTTTGACAAAGGCTATGGAAGCAAATCTAAAAAGAAAACCAAGCTGAAATCGGAGTCAATGGTCGCAATAGCGCATAACCAGTTATTTTGCCAAACATATTTAGAATAGTTTTTCTAGTGAAAAGGAGTGAACTTTTATGAACCAATTGTTGGTAGTTCTATAATCATATAAAATTTGTTGAAGTGGAAGTAAATAAATTTACACATACATATTGAAACAATTCTTACAAAAGATATCTAAAAAAAACATTGAAAATTTATAATTCTCATTATTTAATGGAGTAGTTCAATGAACTGCAGTGTGTAAGCTAAACATGTATGATACCAGACTTCATAAATAAAATCCTTTGTCAAAGAATTGGTAAAAAATGATCCACACACTAATTTCTACAAACAAATGAAAACCTTGTCAAATAATGGTGAAGAAATACCTACACACCTATATAAATAACACACAAAATCCTTAAGCTACTTTGTTTACAATGTAGGTAAATATAGCCATTAAATACCATTTGAGTCTCTTTAACTAGACCCACTCTAGAAGTTTTGTAAAATAAATTTAGTTCTGTGAATTGCATAGGTAGATTTAAAAAAAAAATTAAATCCCTTGTGGATTCACTGTTACAAGAATAGAAATATTTATCACCATTACTGCTCTGTTGACTGACAGTCATACAAAATAAAAATATCATTAATAAATACATGCATATATCCTGCACTTCAACACTGCTTATATTTATTTTATATACAAAACAATTACCATATAGTGTTTGCAGAGTGTATTATTTAGTGATACAAAATAAGTTCGTGTGAATCAATATGATTGTGAATGTAATTTGTCATGACACCAAAATGGTGTTGATAGGAAATCTTCCGGTGGAAAGTATGGCTGTGACATAAGTTGGTGTGTCACACAACACTGTATTGGAAAAAGAAAACAAATGCTGGTCCAGAACTAGGCTATGATAAAGCCTACTTATTTTCTGATCACCAAAAAACCCATTATGAAAAGATAGGTATGAATAGCTCCATTAGATTGCACAAAGTTTTAATGACTAAATTTAAAGAATACTGAAATTTATCTTCAGATACCCCTCTATATTATACTCGAGCAAATTCTGTAAGTTAAAAGGAAAGCATAATGAAGTTAATTGAGTTTGAACTTAATTTAAAATAATGAAAAAAAAAATGCTGCATGGGTAATTTATGGGTGTAGATTTAATGTACAAAATAATGTAATAAGTATGTGAATGTTGGTTAAAACACACAATACATCAGTTTATTTTGATAAGACCTAGGCACTTTGATAGTGTAGGTATTTAAACATCAAACTATATAAATTGAATAAATATTACAACAGTTAATTAAGCATAAAAATAAAGAAACGTTTAATAAAAATACCCACAATAGTACCTGAAAAAGGCCCCAGTAGGTATCATTTAAGTAAAATGTTAATAATAATTTAGAAGTCAAATTTCAACAGTTAAAGGTATTTATCGCTAAGAAGTGAGATTCATAGCAATTGAGTAGAATATCTTCTTCTTAATGAACTTCTGAAGATAAATCATGTAACAACAGTTTAAATTCTTTCTAATGCAAACATTCGCTATTCAACAAAACAATTACTATTTGAGGTTATTGACTAAAGTCTTCAAATAACAAAAGCAATTATTTTTTAGTAAAATATATTCATATTTTCAGTAAATGAAATAAATAATAATGTGGGAACTTACCCTATAACCTCTATAAAAAAACAATTATTTAACTAATAAACTTTTCTTTTATCCTTTACGATAAAGAAAAACCTTTATTTTGTCATATAATGTTTGGGTCAGGTATGTTTTGTAAAAGTCATCGTCTAGTAAATTAAAAATCATACATAATTTGCATGTATAAGTTTAGCTACAGCAAAAAGAAAAAACAACTTAAACAATTTAAGTCGTCCATTATTTAAGCTTTGTAAAACATTTATGAAATGTATTAACACCCCTATTTCCATATAGCAAATTAACTATAAAAATATCTTTAAATATATACAAAACAAAATTTAAAAAGCTAAAAAATATGAGTTTGAAATATTCACACTCTTATTCTTTAGCTAAAGGGATCTCAATTCCATCAACAAATAACTGGTGAACTATTCCGTCTCTTCTTTTTCCAGTTGTAACTGCCTTGATGTAAGCAGGGTGATTTCCAATCTCAAAATGCGTTTCGGTGCCATCATCAACAAATTCTCCCTTAAATTAAATAATATGAGCAAATTTTTTAAACATGAGAATATAGCAATTCCTTGTACTTATAAAGAAATCCAAGAAGTCAAAATTACAAAACTTCTATGCTTATTGTAAATATTTGGACTTTATTCAATAAAATACTTAAAATTCACTAAGTCAAAAAATTATTTAAAAAAAAAAGACTGAAAAAAATATTTTACACAATCTAAGTGATCATTAAAATAATTTTCATTTTTTAAAAATTGCAAATTGATATGGTTTCAATTTAAAATAGAATTATAGACTTAGTGTACAGTGAATCAAAGAGTAAGGTAAGATTTACTTTGGTATAAATTATAAAGAAGATAGTAATGCTTACCGTTGTGTCCACTTTGGTTCCATTCACCCAAACATCTAATGTGTCTTTTTCTGCAAGATATAAATGCATACAATTAATACAGGTACAGTCAAATAATTTTAAGTACTAAATGACATAATTTTAAAATAGTTTTACATATTAAACACTTAATACACTATAGTGCAATAAGAAAAGTAAATGACATAAAAACATTTTTAATATTATTATAACATAAAAAATGCAGGCTTACTGAATTAAACTATCAAAACAAACTCTACAGTTCTTTGAAAAATATTATATTCAAATGGGTAATTATAATGGGTAAAAAAGTGGATAGTGGCAAGGTAACATTTTTTTTTTGCATAAACTCCAAGTTAGGAAAAGGCTGTTGTGGCTTTATATTTTAATTAGCTACATTAAACTAAAATGAATAACAGCAACAAAATATTTGTGCATGATGAACAGTAAAAATTTGTCCAATGCTTTGTCTGGTTTGCTGCTTCTGTGAATAGAAGGCCTATAGAATGCAACAACTTAAAAAGTTCATAAGCTACATATCTGTATTCTAATATTTAGGGAGAAAATTAAATTTGAAATCTATCTAATACTACTAAAACTCAACTTTGTTTACATGTTTGAATATTTATTTGTTTGTCTGATTTCTTACTGTAAGGAAACTGCTTTAAATGGGGGGCTGTAAAATAGTATGTAGGTAGAGAATAATTTTTTATTGCAGACAGACTGTTAATCACACATTTATTTAAAGACGTTAATTAATTTATTGATTTATTCATAGGTAGATTAACCACATTTGTTTTAAATTTTTAGAACAATGGCTTAACTTTGACTGAATAGTGATGTTTGATAACTCATTTTTTTGTTTGTTTGTTTTTCTGATTTGTTATTGGGGAGAATCTTCATTATGTGTAGAGCTGTAAAATGGTATTTTGAGTGGTAAATATTGTTCCTTCTTAAACACACTATTAATTACAAACTAATTTAAAGCCGTTAATTAATTTATTGATATATTCATCGGTAGATTAACCACAGTTTATATAAAAGTTTAGAACTATGAGTTTAGTAATAGTAAAAAGATATTTTTTTTTTTAAAACAATGTTTTCAATTATTTTTCCTAAGGCCTACATGTGAATGATAAGGTTGACTATCAGGACCTCGCGGGGCACAGGGCAGGTGAAGTAGAGTGCACCTGTTGTTTGTCCTAAGCATATGAAGGGATAGTGTGGTCAGAGACATGCTCGGCTGGAATCGTTTTTTTAAACGATAAAAACATGTCTGAGACTTGGTGGGACACTGGGATGGAGTGGAGTTTAGTAAACACTACATGAAGGTTGCGGACATAACTTGTCAGGCCTTTTAAAAAAAGTGTATTTATTCACAGTTCCATATATATAATTTTATTTGTCTTTCGATAATTAGTGCTTTTGTTACTTACCTAAAACTACTCTCATTCCATTGCCTGCTACATAGACTACCCAAGTTTTCATGATTTTGCTTTGGTTTTCCTTGAACTTCTTCAAAGGTTTGCCATTTACTTCAAGCGTGTACTCATAGGAGAATCCACTGACGGCATCTATAGATATGACACACTTGGTTTTTCCAACCTGAAAATGCTCTCTACCAACCAGTTTAAACATCCAGTCCTGACGATAAATATCCTGGAAAGTAAAAAACTAAAAATTACAAGAAATTTTGGTCAAACATATCAGAACTGTATTGAAATATTATATCTATTTAATATTTTGAGTTCTTATATTTATAAAATGATGAAATCGCAGAAAGTTAGCTTGAGGCAGCAAACACACCAACTACCAGCTGACAAAGAAATCCTCCAGAAAAAATTGAGAATGACTGGCCAGACACTCGAGAAGACTGCATCCAGCATAACAAGACAAAACCTCATCTGGAATCTACAGGGATAAAAAAATGAAGGCATAACTTGGAAGAAGAATACAATCAAGAAAGTTGGATCTGCATGCAGACAGATAGAGACTAGAATATAGTTGCCTGAAAAGCTCTTGTTGACCGCCTATGTCACAGAAGAGGCAATGGACTAACCTAACCTTGTGGCTTTAGAAATATATAGGCTCTTCTCTTTTATCACTATTTACAGACGTATATTAGAGAGTTTATAATAGAGAGTTTAGAACTAATTAGTAGTAAATAATAGAGGTTATATCTTATATTGGTACCCTAATTCTGTTGACTTAGTCCTAGCCATAAAAATATTACAACCCTTCCCCTAAAAGCAGAAAAAAAAATCACATTTACAATAATATCTTCATTCAGCAATTTGTATAAGAATTTGGAAATTATATTTTTGTTGTATACATCCTTATGTTTATTGTCAGAGAAACTTGACAAAAATTATACAGAAGCAGTTTTTAATTAATTTTATTTAAGTACTGTTAAATTAACCTTTCCATCCACTCTGATGATTCGCTTGCCTGTAGTAGTGCCATGTTCGAATTCTATGGTGTGTATACCATCACTGAGACTGATGTCCCAGGTGGCAACAAGGTCAGACATGTTTTTCCTGACTAACTTTTCTTTAGTATCCTGAAGAAGAAAAAACAGGCCTACAGCTACATCAAAATCAAATATATAAGACAATTTAAGTATATCATTAACAATAATAAGATTTTTTAAGTTTTACTGTTTTGCCTAAGTGATTATAACAATCTAATCATGAAACCATACACCATTCATGTACTGTTACAATGTAACAATACATATTACATACATACTGCAAAATATTGATTGTGTATCTAATTATTAAATTAATTTAGATTGGTGTAATAAAATGAAAATGTTTTTGTCATCTTGTGAGTAAAATATATTAATATATTGTTAGGTGCGCCATACTAATAAAGTTAAAGTAAATAGCTTCCTAATGTTTTTGTGTGTTTCGGTTGTGTTTATATATATTATATATTAGGCCTATATACTATATAAATTATAATATTAAATAGGGGGGCCTAATAAAATACGCTCAACTGCATATGAACGTGAAGCGAGGAAAAAAATTATTTAATTATTTAATATTTAAAATACAACAGATGTGTAGATAGTACTATTTCTAGAAGTATTACACTTAAATCTAGGTCTAGATTCTATGTAGATCTAGATTCAAGATCTATTCTAGATCTTTAAACTTACTTGATCGTGAAATCGCGAAAGAATAGTTTTAGTATAACGCTGCCCAGCAACATAACATTTCCGGTTTATATTCCTAGGCTAGCCTAAACTTTTCTTTTAGAGATTTAGTATATAGCCTACTCCCCTCCATTCCAAAAGAGTGAGAGAAAAAAATAATTGAATGATCATTATAAAACACAATTAAAATTATTGATCACCAATAAATTATACAAACCTAGATCAGAGCCAGTTTCTTTACAAAATAAACGCTATCAAAAATCATCTGTTATTTCTAACATAAATTCTACTGATTTTTTTTTTTTTTGATAGGGTCAAAATCAAAATAAGGATCTTTTCCACATAAGCCCTGCAAAAAAAAAATTAACCCCCCCCCCCTCCGCCACCTAAAATGGATTATTTTAAAATTCGCATATGAAACTTGAACATTTAGCCTATAGGCCTATTTTATTGACGATGATGAAATTGGTACATGCCATAAATAATTGGCATGAAAATGTCTGTATTTTCGTACCCCAACCCTAAACCAACCCTAACCCTAACCCTATGGGCCGGGCCGTCTGGTAGGAAATGGGAACTATATATTTTAATCCAGAGCTTTGCTGTTGGACATTATTTAATCGAGAGCTCTATTCTTGGACACTATGCCTCAAAGCTAGTAGTCAGAGGCGTAGCGAGGGGGGGGGGCGGGGCGAGGGGGGGACATATGTCCCCGGGCGCCGACCTTAGGAGGGCGCCAAATTGAAAGTTTGAGGGGGGGGTGCAAATGAAAAGTTCGAGGGGGGGGGGGGTGCAAATCGAAAGTTTGTCCCCGGGCGCCGGGAAGGGTCGCTACGCCTCTGCCAGTAGTCCAAAAAGGTACTGCATTTTATACAACCACAAAATCAATGCTTGATTTCAGTGTTAATATATCTCTATAGGAATTAGGCTTATGCCTTTTCGTAAATATTGCCAGTTTCGAATGTTCTACATAAAACATGCAAAAAAGGGTGCCCCCCCCCCCCATTTTTATATATAGAGGATCTACTAACAAAAAAATACCTATTCACCATCAATGTTCCCTCTAAGGACCAAGAGTGTGTGTGCAAAAAATATGTTGTGTGCGCGGTGCTAAAAATGACTTGGGCAAGTTAATATGTATGTTTAGGCTTGCAATTAAGCAGAGTAATGAAGGCATGCATTTTGATAAATTAATAGAATAATGTGTTGGACTCGTGAAACTATTGCAATTAAAAGAAGATACGAATCCCATCAAAATAAAATAAAATACACAATAAAAACTTTCAGAGTTATACTTAGACAAGAGGTTATGTGGTCGACTTACTATATGTTAGTGTAATGCAATCATGTTAATAATGTTAATACCATAACGGTAATACAAATACGACAGTTTTACATTTAACCATATTAAAAAGCTGACTTGAAAACAAAATTAGCTAACCTTGCAGGGGCATTCATTGCAATTTCTCGCGTCTAACCTTGCCTTGCTTCCACACCTTATATGCTTTGTTTAAATCCACATCCTCTCCAGCATTTAGATATAATTTAATTCGCATTAGATTTCCTAAATGTGTCGCTTCAAGTCTATTTCGTGCTTGCACTTTAATGCTGTTCATAAGGCTAAAACCTCGCTCGCAATCAGCGCTGGATGCTTGAAAAGTACAGCATATGTCACTTAACTTTGCCAGTGAGCTAAATTGTTCATCGTTTAAAGCAACTCCTGCGATTTCGGATAGTGAATTTACTGAACCTGATTTGAGTTTTTCGCTGATCTGAAATTTGAAGTCATTATATTGCGTGATAATTGACTCTTCATTTGTTGTTTGTAACACATCTTTGTACTTTCCGCACAGCTCTTTAATCTCTTTGACGCCAAACTCAAATGCACAATTTTTTAAACCAGTATGATCAAAAGCTGACCAAAACTGAAGTTCATCTCCTGGAAACCTTACATTTAAATGATCCCAGACTGATCGTATAAACTGTGTGATTTGTCTTGTGTCGATTCCTACGTTTTCATTCAAAATTTTCTTGGCTTTATCATTCCAATAAACATCTTCACTAAGGTATTGTGCTTCTAATTTGCGTATTTTAGAAATGCAAAATTGATGTGCTTCAATAGATGATAAATTACTTCGCTGCAACAACATTGATAGATTAGCTAATTCAGTTAATACATCATTAACGGTATACAGAGCAACTTGATACAGGGGATCTCTTAATGATTTCAAAATATAACAACAAACAGGATCATTGCAGTCTTGGACTTGTTCTTCACAGTAGGCAGCTAAGACATCAAGATTTCTAACAAAAGCACTGACAGCAAAGTGACGTGACAACCAACGAACTTCATGAATTGGTCGAAAAGAAATTACATCCATATCATGCACATTAGCCAATTCTTCAAGTGCGCCCTTTTTAACTGAAGATCGACTAAATAACGTGTAAACCGTGCGTAAGAGAACCTCAATATTTTTAAACAAATTAACATCTTTCCAAGCGTCAGAAAGTGCCAAGTCTTCTCGATGAGCAACACAGTGCTGTTCAACAAGATGGGGGACCTTAGCCTTCAGTAAAGCAGCTAATCCCTTCCTACGGCCTAACATAACCGATGCCCCGTCTGATGTTATCATTACCATGCGGTTCATGTCAAGTTGATGTTCAGTGTAGTACTGTGTTATGGCTGCCTCCAGAGCTGAGGCATCACATGCGGTAAGCTGAATTATTCCACCAAAAACGGTTTTGTAGAGTAAAGAATTGACTGGACGAAATTTAAAATAAAGGATTAGCATTTTATGTACAGTTATGTCAGTACTTTCATCAACTATAAGCGTGTGAAACGATGCTACTCGAAGTTCTGTCAGTATGTTCTTTACAACCACCTTGTTGATTGCTTCAACAAACTCAAAGGCGTAGTTCTTACTTCGCCAACTGTCTGGTATAGAAACATACTTCCCCATGTGGTTATGAATCAGTTGTACCGACAGCATCGAGGCGTTCATCCTAATGGCGAGAAGAACATTATCCATTAGGATTCGAACTTGATCCTCGTTTGAACGTTGGCGCTCATTTTGTTCAATTCGTTCTTCTCGCTCATTGTTAGTTTCAACCAGCAGACGTTTAAGACCAGTCCCATTTGAGCGGTTGTACACAATCGCAACATTTTCTACATGAACACGAGACAATAAATGACGTTTACAGTAGTCAAGCTTCCATGATTCCCAACGCTTTCCTGTGACGAAATCGTTGTCTTTGTTGGTTTTGTTACACGCACTAGCAGCACAGAACTTACACTTCAGTCCAATCTCATCTGAATATTCATAGATGCTTCCTAATTCAACTGAAACATTCTTTGAATCGGGCGTATCGGTTATTACTTTAACTTTGAGCCATTCCAGTTTAAACGAATCTCTCGCTTTTTTTTTGCTGCATTGTTTTACCGCTTGTTACACACATTTTTCTTTTCAACATTTTCAAATAGCACAGAGTAGTAAACTTTTATTCCTTATTTACCAAACCGGTTTGTGAACACTGAAACAGTTCAATCCAGGTGCACGTAATAATCCCAAGAATTGGATATATAAAGTATATAAATCCTTAAACCAAGAGCAAAAACACATCCACCTCTAGTAGCGTAGAATTTGCATCTGACTTGGGTAAATCGTCAAAGTATCAAGGAAATGGGTGGGGTTGGGAGATGGGGGAGGGCAGTGGCAATAAAAAAAACCTTGCATGGTCAGCTAGTAGCCGCAGGTATTAGGTGTCAGTGCTGCGGTCAGTTTTGGTGTAAACCATTAAATCAAGCAGCGGGCGTGTCACCCAGACAGGTCGGTACCCCGCTCAGGTGAGAGGCAAGTCATAAACTAGACCTGTGCTATGACAACCGAGGTCAGAAACTTTAAGTATCAGCTTGGTCCAGGCCAGTCATTTATATCCGGGGTTTTCTATTTATGTCCCAAAACACAAAGACTGTTTGTTTAACAAAACAGGCACTAAAAATGTCGCTTCATTCAAGCCACTGACCACAATTTTTTTAGTGGATCAGGCTTGCCCGACGGTCTGATAATCTGTGCGCGGCATCAGAAAATGTCTGCGCGGCATATTTGTAAGGGCTGCGCGGCCGCGCAGCCGCGCAGCTTAGAGGGAACACTGTTCACCATGGAAACAAAAGACATCTACTATTCAAATATAATTATTTATATGAAGAATAAATATTAGATTTTGAAAACCACTGATAATAGCAGTTTTTTTTGTAATGTATGTTTGGCTTTTCCATAAAACATGCAAAAAAGGGTGCCCCCCCCCCCATTTTTATATATAGAGGATCTACTAACAAAAAAATACCTATTCACCATGGAAACAAAAGACATCTACTATTCAAATATAATTATTTATATGAAGAATAAATATTAGATTTTGAAAACCACTGATAATAGCAGTTTTTTTTGTAATGTATGTTTGGCTTTTCCATTATTAAGTCATCGTGTACGGTGACAACGATAAGTATCATGTGATTTTATTTCCCCTGCCCAGGAAGATCTGAAGATAACGTGCGACAGGTGCAGCTACTCTGAAGATAACTCAGCCATACCCTCGTTCACTGACTCAATCAATGGCTTTCTCCTCGCAAATAAAACTCGACGGAGTAACAGCGGTTATCTGACCTCTTGTTGCATGAAAATCTGGTCAATCGCAAAACAATGCCGGTTTGTACTATCTATTCAAACCAGAAGGTTTGGTTTATGAGTCACCGCTAGAAATGGTAGTTGATACACGATTGCATGTGCATTTACAAACGCACTAAAGCCGAGTGCTTACTTAATGACTTGGCGTTGGTTTTATTACAAAACATAAATTATATTTTAGGGTTGGTAAAAAAAGGAAAAATATAACGCATTGTTTTAATAATATTTTTATATTTATTAAAATATATTTTTTTAAACAAAACGATTAAAACGAGTAGCTTGCAAGACGTAAAATCTATTTAAAAAATTGATTTTTTTTTTACATATGATAAAACATTTAGTATATCATTTTCAATGTATTACGTGACGGTGTGGCTTAGCGGTAGTAAGTTTGAATCAGGGTTTAAGAAAGAAGAACGTCCCAGAGTCCACCCAGCTCCGATGGGTAACTAACTTAGAGAAAATAACGGCGGCTGGGAATAGTGATGACCATACTCTTCTTTCATATGCCGAGGTCACAGAAACAGGTGAACTCTGAGGCGTAGCGAGGGGGGGGGGGGGGGGGCAGGGGGTGCGGACCGCACCGGGTGACATCATTTAGGGGGGTGACACCAAGGCAAAAAATAGCAAAATATATAGAGACAAGTTTGAGGGGTGGGGGTGCAAATCGAAAGTTTGAGGGGGGGGGGGGTTGCACATCGAAAGTTTGAAGTGGGGGGGGGGGTGCAAATCGAAAATTTGATGTTGGAGGGAACATAAACCACTCTGGGTCTAGTATTATTTGCACACTAGTACACACAAGTAAAGAGCCAGAAAGGTGCGCCAACTGGTCTATTCACCGGCACGTCCGTTTAAAATCCACTATCCCGAGTCATTTTAAGACAGCTGTATAGATATATTTTATTCAGCTTACCACAGTCATGAACATTATATTTTGTGGTTGCAAATTGTCCCCGGAGCATTACAATATTCTATTGTTATTATAGGTATGTATAAACTTGTAGTAGCGTCGAAATGACGGAACTCGTTTTTTTTCCAGAACGAGTTAAAAGACGGAACTAATCAGAGACAGGTTTCACTTGAAATGTTATTGGCTACAAAGCTGTTTCTACTCGTACCCACACTTCTTGAAACTTGTCTATGAGCCAGATTGTGGTTGATACAAAACATTCCTTTAACGATTTCCTATTGAAACCTGACCCTAACCAGAGTTTCTTCAGGGCATCTCTTAGGGGGACACCCCCATCCCCCCCCCCTCCCCGTAAAAAGTCTACCGCCCCCGAACGAAATGAAATGTATATAGAAAAATATATACTTTTAACAGTGTCCGCCCCCCCCCCCCCCCCGAAGAAAGTCTACTGCTCCCTACCCCCCCCCCCCCCCCGAAAATTTCAAGTGCCTTCCCGGAGAAAAAAGTCTAGAAGAAACACTAACCCTAACTTGTCGCTAGACTACTTTTGGGACTATAGGGATGTGAGCTTACAATATGCGGTCCACGGTAAATGGGCAAATCATTTTTAAGCAGTAAATTTCTTTAGTATCAACAAGCAACAGAAAAAAAGCAGCGCGCTTGCAGCAAGTAAACGAAGTAAACATGTTACAGCCTAATACGTTTCATATGTAGCGTAAACAACAGATAAGGTGTATTAGCATCTCCGGTTCACTGAACAGGTTTCGTGAATCGAACATCAGATTGTAGCGTAATAACAGTATGTTAGGATTTTCTCAAATCTTGAAACATGGACAAATTTAGTGTAATTTATTCGACATTTACGAAATAAATTTCAAGTAAGAAATCTTTTTTTATTCGTTTAATTTTATTCATTATCTTTTCCCGTTCGTGCCCAAGACACAGGTGGAAGATGAAGCAGAGTTCATCTGTTTCAGTGACCTTGGCATACAAGGTGATGATGTGATCAGCACTATGCCCAGCCGCGTTTGTTTCCCTAACGTGGGTTTGGTACCTATTAGAGCTGGGTGGACTCAGGGAAAGTTCTGCTGATTAAAACACATATTCCAACTTGGGACTTTCCAGTTTAGCAGTCTAGCCCTCTACCGTTAGGACACGCCGACCCATAATAAAATTTGTATATGAAAAATATAAAAAAAAACAACAACTAATAGGACAATGATGTTGTGAGTTTACTTAACTTTCATTTACACATGCATATAATTTGGTCAAGATAAAATAACTGTGAGCACAAAGAGATGTTTGGTTTAGTGTTTATTTTATATTGTGTTAAAGAGACATGTGTTTTTGCCAAGAAACATATTGTATAACATTTTTGTTAATTCGATTTTCAAAAAATCTCCGTTATTCGTTTCTTGTGTTAAGTTTGTAGACTTTATGGAAACCTTACAGGAACTGTATATACACTTACTTTGGAAATGTTTCTTTAGTAATAATACTATTAACACATGTTTAAAATTCTAAACAATCTTTTAATAGATCATTGTTCTTTGAGGAAAAAAAAAAAAAGGGGGGGGGTCATTTGTCGATTTATCACAGACAACAATGTCGGGCTAATGGTGTTCCATAAAGCTGTTACAGACTTACTGTATGAGTGAAGTAGATGATATTTTTATATGTTCTATATGTGCACGGGACTTTCTGCACTAGAGCTGTTTTTGACACACACACACACACACACACACACACACGCACGCACACACACACACACAGACGCACGCACGCACACACACACATATACGCACACACTAATACACACATTGATTTACAGTTCTATACATAAAAACGCATAACCTCATTGCTCTATGACGCGCGCAAGCAAATACATTTTCTGTTGTGAAACTGATAGCTAACTGTAGTTATTATACTATAAAAACACATACTACACCCATCTGT